ACTGCACTATATTTTATTCTTTTTAAAACCGCAATTCAAATAACAGGCCTGTCTAGAAACTTGTTTACACAATACAGCCAATCTTGTGTGCACCTCAGTCATATTCCTCATTAAAATTTTATATTTTTCACATACTTTAGCAATAATGAGCCATCAACAGTAGGGATGGGCAGTGAGTTTGGAATATTTAAAGTTAACGGGCAAATTGAAAGAACTGATGCAATGGTTACAGCCATCCTTTTTTATATCAGAATCTGGTAGTGACACACCGAGATGTTTCCTAATGGAGGTTTGTGTAGTTGCAGTGGTATTTATTTGCCTATTTTACGTACAGCGCATACAAAGAAACAAAAACATTTAGGAGCCTCTTATGATGAGAATATTGGCAGTTATGGTTTTACAGTGGACACTATGGTCGTGTATAAGCTCACTTTTACTGTCAAAACATGCATTCCCCTCCACATGAATCCATTGGATAAGTGAAAATGAAGGATTAAGAATGTTTCCAGCTAGCAGAAATAGCAGCAACACATGTCTCTGTACCTGAAGCCCTTTTCATTGGAGAGTTTTTCAACTGTAGCTTGGGTTGATTAAACTTTAATTCACAGTGTTGTCATCCCATGGTGGCTATGGTAATTTTATAAGAGCAGAAACATTAAATGTAGCCTGGGGGCGTTTGCAAACGATCCAGATCGTTATATAGATATCTCTTTACAAGGAACGATATGAACAGAGCTGCTGACAGTAAAGTGCCAGCCCTAGTTTTAATTTTTTCCTCCTCATAATTTCAAACTGTTTAAAAGCAGAGAAAGTATTTTAACAAGAGCCAATCTCAGCTGTCACTTTATGATTTAGGATTATAGCTCATTTAGCTATAATTATGAGCTATAATCCTAAATCATAAAGTGACAGCTGAGATTGGCTCTTGTTAAAATACTTTCTCTGCTTTTAAACAGTTTGTTGTGCTAAAATAAGTACGCGTTATACCAAAATTTCTGCATGTTTGCCTCAAGTTTGCAGCAGTGGCTGGTAGGTGGACAAGAGCAGGGGCCCAGGACCGTACAGATGGGAGGGTGGGTCAGCCTGGTCCAAAACTCTGCAGTAAGGCTAAGGTCTAGTTCAAATGTCTAGTAGGGCAGTTCATAGTTCTCTGGTGCAGTATAGTGTTCATCCAGTCACTGTACATTTCAGAATACTTTCAGGTCATACAGCTGCACCTTATCATGCTAGGTGCTAACACAGGTTAAAATAGGACTCGTCATCTGCAGTTTTTGTGACACTGTCAAAAAAAGAGATTTTCTGCAATAATTAATTAAAAAAATGTTTAAAATGCACCAAAAGGTTTTAAAGCATGTGTCAGTGATGTGTGAGGAAATGTCAGACATGTTTACCTGTAGAGAGAATGCCTTCTTGTGATGTGTGTTTCTCACACAGACCTTCTTATGTAGCCATATACAGTATTTGAGTAGGTCCAACCCTGGTAACCCACTACAGGCAAACACTTCTCTTTCAATATAACCCTCGCTCATACCCATCAGCATTGATTTTTGTTGAGCTGACTGATGGCTATCAGGCATTGCTGCTGGATGTGGTTGTAAAAATGATATAATGCGACTGAAGTGCACCAACCTGAGTTCAGTGCTGCCGAGAGGAATCCCTTCTTTTAAAAAGCATTGTTGTCCTCCAGTTACACTGCAGCAGATGGTCTTATTACTGCATATTTACAGCATTTAAGGGTTTCTAATAGATGTGAACCATTCCAGATTAACCATGCAACGGACATGTTTTTTGTTGCCATTGCTATTACATTAAAAAGTGTGATTTAAATACCATTCAACATTAACACATAACAAAAGAACATTTTGGAGCACATAATTCATATTGTTATAGTGGGGGTCAGCTAGGTAGGGAGATGTTCAAAGATTTCAAGTTTATGTTTTACTTTTAATAGTTTTAAGTTTATTTTTTAACTTGGAGAAAATAAACACTTTTCATTTTGAGTGTATTGACGACATTCTTGATTGAATGTACTTAAATAAATTATAAAATATGAAAAATTAATTACTCATAAATTATAAATACCGGCATATAATAAATCAATAAATTGCATTGATTCTGAAAAAAATTGTTTGCCTGTGTTTACCAGTCTCACAGTTTTTAATCTTCAGATACTTTTAGGGACAAAGTAATGAACATTTTTAAACATAACCCTCATCGTCTTCACGAGTCAGCACAGTGGTGCAGTTGATAGAGCTGCTGCCTCTCAGCGAGCAGGTTGCCTTCGTTCAAATACCGGCTGGGGGTCTTTTTGGGTAGAGAGAGTGAATGGTTGTTTGTCTCATTTGTGTCTGTGTCCCTGTGATTGACTGGAGACCTGTCCACAGTGTCCCCCGCCTCTCACACAGTGATGGCTGGACATGAGTACCAGTGACCCCTGTGACCCAAAATGGAAGAAGCGGGTAAAGATGATGGATGGATGGATGGATGGATGGATGTGTGGATGTATGGATGTATGGATGGATGTATGGATGGGTGGATGGGTGGATGGATGGATGGATGGATGGATGTTCATGAGTCAAAATGTGGTAACGGTGATAAAACTCCTAAAACTTGTGTTGTGGCTAGAAGCCACCGTCGTGTTCAAAACAGCTGAAGCGAGCACCTTAGTTCAAAAGATTTATTTGACAACGGATTACAGATATTCAGAGACAAACAATTACATAATAAAATATATGCATATATTTGGAGCATTAAAGAACGAACCGTCTCGGTCTGGTCTTCCCCGGAAATGCTCGATGAGCGTGTGTCATTTCCGGCTTTTATAAAAGCTTGAAAAAGCTAGCTCTTCTGATTGGTTTAGCCCCTTCAGTTCCCATGGTTACTGGTTTAGAGTCAGAGTCAGAGTCAGAGTTTCTTTATTGTCATTCGCACCTCATGTGGTACATGTGGTGGAGCGAAATTATGTACACGGGGTCCCAGTTACATCCAACAATAAAATGTATAAGAAGCCCGCCCCCTGAAGGACGTTAGTTAAAAGTTTATGGCACACTGAAATCGTTCGTTTTAGCCGTTTGTTTAACGTGATTGTACCTTAGTGATACCAAATGATTTGAGTTAAAGTTGTTTATTTCTAGGAATAATTAATAACTATTAATTGTTATCTAACTCATGTTTGCGTGTTCTTACTTGATCCTTTTTATACTTCTGCTGTTGTAGCTTACTGTGACAATTAACCCTGTGTCTTCTCAGCTAAACCGACCCTGTATTCAACAGTGATTAAATGTTAATGGTTATTATTAAGAGAGAGCCTGAGGGATCTTATTTAGTCAAACTATATTGTCTAAATTAAAGAAATGTGTTCTAGCTTTATTTATGTTAATCAATCTGCTATCTGGCATGACTTGATTGCTTGTAATATATCAAATGTGAACTTGTAAAATTATCCTTAGCTAATATGAGATTATATTTAAAGGTCAACTAGTTAGAATTAGCAAACATTTTCTATAAATATAGTGCAACCCTGGAAGAAAGACACACACACACTTTGTATAACATGACATTTGAATGCTTGATAGGAAATATAAAAAGGTATAAAAATATGAAATCCAACACTTGCCAATGAAAGGATGTTTTTATTTTTTGCCATTTTGGCAAATATAAATTTTCCAGACTGATGGATGGTGACGATGTATCTCCCTTGGCCACAGATTTGGTCACGTGCAAACATGTTTAGACATTTATGTTGGGGGGCGTGTTTGCTGGAGTTACGGGCATCCTCCTTGAATAATGATAGGGGAATTGCTGAAGTGGGCTGAGGTAGGTACGGAGTGGGTGGGCAACAAAATAATGTGCACACTCACAGCCTTGGATACAGTTTTCCAAACGGTGCCCATGGATTCAGATTGTGATTCTTAAATATTATTTTAAAAATACATGGCGTGACTTACTGATCGCAAACAGTCACGTTTTAATGAGTCTGCTGCAAAAGAGCCTTTTGCCTTACAACTTTCTTTCAGTTTTGAACGGCCAACTAGTTATAAACAGTCTAAATCCAAAGAAATGAATCTGTAATGTTACTGCCCAGTCCTAGAGTCGTTCTTCTTCTTCTTCTTTCGGCTGCTCCCTTCTTCAGGGGTTGCCACAGTGAACTAAGTTGCACGAAGGCTTGGTGATTATTTTTTACACTGGTTGTTCTTCCTGACACAACCACAGACACCGAGCTACCACAGCCTCTGTGTGGAGCAGAGAGCTGTATGTAGGGCACCCGGGAGAGCAGAAGGTGGGGGTTAAGGGCCTTGCTCAAGGGCCCAGAGTGGGGCAAATGAGGGTGGAGGCAGGTGTGGGTGCTTCACCTTTCCCGCCCACATTTTTGATGTTGTCGGTACTGGGAGTTGAACCGATGAGCTTCCAATCACAGGCCCACCTTCTCTAACCTCTGCGCCACCACCCCCTGCCCAGTCCTGGAGTCTAGTCACATGTAAAGGTGTAAGGTGCACGGTCTGGTGTCGGTGCAGTACCTGCTAAGCTCAAGCCTGACAGATATCTTCGTACTGTGCACCTGATTGTGTTAAAGCAGTTTTCTACCTTTGAACTGTCAGACGTCTGACTTTAAACTTTTTCCCACAGCCTACTCTCACTCTCTTCTCTGCCTCTCCACTTCTTCAGGGCGGCTGTGGCTGAGTGGTTAGAGCAGTCGTCCCCCAATGCAAGAGTTGGAGGTTCGAATCCACCAGCAGTCACATGCTGAAGTGTCCCTGAGCAAGACACTGAACCCCTCATTGTCTCTGATGTGTCCCATCAGTGTTTGAATGTGATAAAGCTCTGATTATCTTTGTAGAGATCTAGTATAGAGCTGTATGAATGGGTACATGAGGCACAGATTGTAGTAAAGAGCTCTGAGTATCTTGATCAGATAGAAAGGAGCTGTATAAGTACAGTCCATTTACAGTTTAACTCTCCTACTGATGTTAAGGGTGACGTTTTGTTGTTTGTGTTTGCAGGCGTTCAAGCCAGTGGTGGGGAAGAACCTGTTGTCGTCAGTAACAGCAGTGGAGTTCTTGTTGGACCGACAACTGGACTTTCTTTCTGACCATTCAGCTTGTCAACCGTACCAGGTAATTAACACTACACATGCAAAAAATACACTATTAACAGAAGCAAAAACTTTTATTTTTTCTTGGTTGAACTGGGATTATTTAACACATTAGGGTAGATCTGTTTTAAACAGAATAGGCAGGATTATAATAAAAATATTAATAAATTTATGAAGAAATCAATCCAGAATCTAGTCGGGTATGAGTTTGTAATGGTATGCGATTGATGTGGGATTCTAAAATAAATACAATTTGATCTAACTGAATTAATTTTAAAAATGACTGTGATTATTACCACTTGCGGAGTGGGGTTGGGGGCTGCAGTAGTTTGGTGGTCAGCGCCGTGGTCTTCTAATCCTGAAGCTGTAAATCTGAACCCAGGTTGGGTCAGGAAGGCATCTAGCGTTAAACAGTTGTCAAGTCTTTCATGTGAATTTGCTCAATGTGGTAACCCCTGAGGACAGGAGCAGTTAAAAGAATAACACCTGTGATGACTGTTGCTATAATATTAACACACTGCCAAGTTATTATTAGCAAGCCATTGTATCAGCATTATAGTACGTTTATAACAATTTGGTGAGTGGCTGAGAGGTTTGTGGCACACATCATAAAACAATGATCAAATCAAGTACAACATAATTCAATTCAGTTTATTTATATAGCACCAAATCACAACCAAGTTGTCTCAGGACACTTTACAGAAACATTAAAATACATAGAAAAGACAATTAGTAAAGTTCTCTATCTAAGGAAGCAGCAGACAAGTTGAATCTTGGCTTCGTTGCAGTCTCCCATAAGACAAAACACAATTATTTTAACCACATGAATAATTTTCAGGTGAAAGTGCAGGTGTGTGTCATAATGATTTTAACAGACTTAAAACAAAGGCAATTGTTGAAAACACAAGCAATGGTTAAAGTTTAGCCATTATCTTTTCCTGCTTCATCGATTCTCGGTAATGGGGGTCTCAGGTGCCCGTATCCAGCATCCTGCAATAGGTGGGGTACACCCTGGACAGGCTGTAAGTCCATCACAGGGACACATAGAGACAAACAGGCAATGGCTAAAGACACAACATTCAAAGGTCTCACTGACTCTGTATTTCAGGATTTAACAAAAGACTCTAAAATAAATTGGGTTTGACAGGTTCAGATCAGCCTGCACGGTTCTTTACGCAGAGGGTAACCAAGCTGCAGTGACTAACGTTTGTATATGTGCAAACAGACACCAAAGAGTGAGGCTCAGCACTTCTCGACCCTCTATCATCTCGGCATGAGCTCCCCGCTGGGCCTCCAACAACAACGCTGCAATTATTAAGTTTGCTGCCGACACAGCAGTCATTGGACGGATCAGGAAGAACAAGGAAACAGCGTACCCAGAGGATGTCACCAACTACACTGAATAGTCATCTTATAACAATTTAAAACTGAACACAAGGAAAACTAAAGAAATAATTATGGACTTCCAGAAGAAACAAGAGTTACCACCATCAGTCACTGTTAAGCAAGTGGAACTAGACTTTTCCTTCAATGCCTGGGGGCCCTTTTCTCTAAGGATGCAACATGGAACACCAGTGCATCCTTGGTAACCAAGATGAGAGTCTACTTTTAAAAGTACTGAAAAATATTAAATTTAGTCCTAAAGTTATTGGTGTCCTTTTACCTATGTGCCCATAAGGTGTGCAACATATATGCAGTCACTATTAGGTATGTTAGTGGCGTAGCTAAGAATAAAAAACATTGTTGGAGCATTATTAGGGCAGCTGAGGATATCACTAACACCAGCTCCACACCTTGGACCAGAGCTATGGTTGCACATGCTTAAAGAGAGCACACAGCATCACTGAAAGATTTTTCTCTTCCTCGCTCACACTGCTGCTTTCTGGAGGCATCATGGGACAATAAAAACAATGACTATGAAGTTATAGAGCAGCTTTTATCCTAGAGCAGTTATTGTTCACAGTTGTTGAGCAAAGAGGGGGAATTGGAAATACCATCAGTTCATTCATCCGTCCGTGCACGTTGTGAGCATAACTTGAAAAATAATTGTGGTACCAACTAGTGCTGAACGAGTTTGGAAAATATTCTAATTGTGATTTTTGAACTTAATATTGCGATTGAATATGTGATTATTTTTCTTCTCATGTATTGTTCAAACAACACAAGCGATAATAAATCAATCTGCTTCAGTTTCATTGAACTCCACTGTTTTCAGCTCCGCTGCAACTCTGTTTCTACATTTTTTGTAAAGCTGCGGGACAGAAACGTGGCTCAAATGTGTGCACGAGGCCATTCTGTACCACTTATCCACTGTGTTTACCAAAGCTGTGAAGCCGGGCCTGCTCACTGTATTAATGGGCATCGTGCCTTCACTGTGAACTCCGTCAGTGCTCGAGTTATTTCCACGTGCCGTTTTGAACCATGTTCATACGGAGTAACACCTTGGAACAGTTCGTCAGCGATCCTGTCGGACGATACTTTGCTTACTTGAAGGTGAAGCACTGGTTGTTGGCGTTCTAGACACGCAACTCTCAAAAATGACTTTGTGGTGTTTTTGTAAGTGTTCATAAAGATTTGTGGTGTTACCTGGAGAAGTAGCAACAGCAGCACGGCAGGTTCTGCACAATACATGTTGTTTTCAGCGTCTTCTTGTTTATAGCCAAATGATTCAAAGAACGGACGTGCTGCCGCTCTTTGGTACCAAACTTTCAGATGTGTCAGCTTCTGTCGAGCCTGAGCCTGTTGTGAAACCAGTTAAAGCTCAGTGTTGACTTCTGCTCCCTGCTCTGCTCCGCTCACTCGTAAGTCACAAAACCAGATCACGTGACCAGGCAAACTGCAGCCCTTGCAAATACAAAATCTTCTTTTATCATTTAGGGACATTATTGCAAATGCAATTGATTGTTCAGCCCTAGTACCAACTTCCATTTTGGTGTGTGGCAGCATCTAGGCATACGAAATGTTGCTTTCAAAAAGTGGTTTGTTATGCCAGAATTCAAGATGGCTGTCGCCATATATGTATAAAAATTAACTTGGATTCAGTCATCTCGAAAACCACAAACACTCACAATTCAAGTCCCTCAGTGACCAGGGACATTGGTGCTTGCTTGTTTCTTTGACCCATTACAGCAAGACTTCTGAATACTTAGAAATCACTGCCCGTCTCTAGTCCAGTCACCTCATGTCTCTTTTGGAGATGGATCTTTCCAGCTGAACTCACTTGCTGACTCCTGCCCAGTCATCTATATCATCAGCAGTGGGTGCAACCATGTGACTTGAAGGAAACTGGGAGCCTCTCAGTCTTCCTGGCATCGTGGACTGCACAGAAGTACTTCCACTCACCCCTGTACAGATTCCTTCACTCTTAAATCACTTATCCCTGCACAGAGCCGCCTATTCTTCAACAGACCTTTGAACGACAGCAGTAAATACACACTCTCTCACTCAGAGCTGTGGATCCATGACCACTCCCCTCTCTGTTTATCCAGTTGGACAGGAAAAACGGGGGGAGGAAGATGAGGAATGGGGCTGGGCTTCAGTCTGTTTGGCATAAAGTGCACAATGAAGTCACTGTTTGGAGACCGGCTCAGTCTGTGTATTTCTGTTGCTAGAAAGTTGTGGCGAATGCTGAGAACAGGAGGCAGATAATGAAAGTTTTTGTGCTGACTAAAGCGTTAGACTAAATTCCACCAAACACGTGCACATTTACACACACACAGTTGTGCAACTAACCTTATTTGGACATTACACACGTGTACAGCTTAAGTTGACTTTCTGTTGATATAAGTCGGGGTTATTGTCTCTGCTTTCGTTTACAACAAAAGTCATAAAAATGCTCAAGTCAAATTACATTCGTACCACTTCTTTTTCATCCAACCTTTATTTATACAGGTTAGTCTCAGTGAGTCACGAGGGCTCGTTTACAAGAGAGACCTGTAGAAGAAAGTCCGTTTCAGTGTCGGTACAAGAATAAATTGTCAGGCAAACTGCAAACGGTCCTCTTCAATCCAGTGACTACAGATGCAGCAGCCTCGTTCATCACCCTGAAGGGCATGTGAACAAAACGCTGCAATATCCTCAGCAGTTGTGCATCATATCCTGTTACTTTTACATGTGTCAAACCCAGATGGCCCTTTAGAAGATGTCTTGTTGTGAGAACTCGCAACACACTGTTGGTCAGCAGCGGACAACGTCCTGTCCAGATTCTTCACACATTGTCCTTTGTTCATTTGTGAAACGGACTGCTGGGATCATTGAACTTCATTTATTTTATTTTACTCCAGTAATTCTCAATGACCTGCACTTTTCCATTACGCATGTGAACAGGGCAGCAGACACCCCCGTGCGCTCAAGGGCCCATAGTAGGGCAAATTGTCAGGGGATTCGAACCGGTGACTTCCTGATCATAGGCCTCCCCCCCCCAACCTCTGCACTACCGCTCACCAATATTATAAGCTATTCTTAAGCAACTCGTTTATTTTGTGGTGTCAAGATGTTTTCTATTTATGCTGTCATGTTTTATTGATCTAACTGGATTATTCACCCCATTTCATAATTTTCTGACGCTCATAATTAAGTAAATAAGTTAACATTTGGACATTAGGTCAAGGATTCCCTCCATACTCTTCAGGTTCTTCTCATAACATGGAAACCCTGATGACAGTAGACCATCAGGCCCATACTGCTGACCATGTTGCCATGCGGTTATAGAACATATGTGTATAAACAATCATATTAAGTGCATTTACAGTTGTAGTTTGAGTTTGACAGGATGCACCGTTTTATGTCTTTCAACCTTCTTCAAATTAAGTCTGAACACAGGAGTGACCTTGCAAACCCTCGCTGCTGAACACTCAGTTTGAAGGTGTGTGAAAGTGCAGAGAAGTGTTTGTTGCCTCCAGGGAGTTTACTGGTCATCTGTATGACTCCACAACACCCAGTCAGCGCAGCCTTGTTGGCTTTCAGCCCACTGAATTATCTGGAAAACATTTGGAATTAGATAAGTAAAATATATTTCTGTTGCACTTTTGAAAATAAAAACAAGGTGCTTCACGTTAAAATAACAAGGCTGGATAAAATAAATCCAGGTGAAATAAAAGCAAAAAAATGAAAGCTAATCTATAATCAAATAAATATATAAAATAAGATACTACCCAATGAGCCAGTCTGAAACATTCTGACTAAATTAATCACAGATTAGCAGGTGATCTTGTATTTGTAAAATGATCTACACTACTTCCTCGTTTATCACGGGGGATCCGTACCCTGCAGCCCCGTGATGAGTAAAAACTGCAAAGTAGGAATAGTAGTACAAGTAGTGTAGTAGTTTATTTTAGTATTTTATATTAAGGCATTTTAAACCCTTCCCACACTCTTGCAATATTCTAAACAATGTTTCTAAACTCTAAACGCTCTAAAAGAGCTCAGAAAGTCATGATTTCAGCTCTCTGCCTCCTCTGCTCTTTGCCATCTGCAAGTGCTCTTGGCCACGCCCACTTCTCCGCTCTGCACGAGAACAGCTGATCAGCTGCAGCAGGAAGTTTATCCTGCAGCTCTGGGCTGCACAAAGGAGGTGCTAAATAATTTAAAATAATTCATTTTAAGTAAAAATGCTATGCCGACCGTGCAACTCGTCCATCAATCAGCCAGTTGTGTGTCATGTCCAATCTTATTTTGAAAAACCACAATAGAGCGAGTCTGCAATAAACGAACCACGAAGTCGCCAGGGACTACTGTATTTCCTTCAACAAAGAATTCTTAAGCAATCTGCAAACAGATATGGTACGTGTGCAGCTATTTTAGTAACTGCTGTTAGCTCTGTGCATGCAGAAGAGTCGGCTTGTTACTGACGTTAGCTACAAATGCTGTGCAGTGTGTGAAAATGACCTCTGCCTGTTAACAGGGTTTGTTGATGTACACAGCCAGCTTCCACCTTGTCACTATTATTTTTATTACTAGTCCATGTTATTGTTGAGGGACAAAACATTGACCCAAATGAGTGTAGGTGTGGCCGGCCTGTGGAGATGAGCAGTTAGCAGAGCTGTGCCTCCGGACTCCCTACTGCAGGTTCAGGTTGTTGTTGCTTACCTGTGCTCCTCCAGGTGCTGCTGCACCTTCTCATAAGCCTACAAGGTATAGGAGTGTAAACTCTGGGCCAGGCTGCTCCACACAACGGCACGTGCTCATCACTTCATCTGCCTACCTTTACAAGCAGAACATGTGGCTGTGCTTTGTTCTTGTTGTTTCTGTTGGTTTTGATTGTCAGAAAAAAATATTTTACTTTTTCATTCAGCTTTGAAGAATAAACATTTGGTTGCTGCTGCAAAAGATTGATGCTTTTCTTTTCTTTCTTTAAAAACAAATGTTTAGTTTTAAGTAAAAAAAAAGTTGTGCATCTCACCAAATTTTGTGACCAAAACATATTTTGATCATAATATTTTACTGACAAATCTTATCAAAATGTTTAATTCCATTTAAACGGTGTGCTTGCTTTATGATTGAAGTCCCCAGACATGGACATGTATACAGTCTGTGAATTTACTGAATGATCAAAAGCTCTGAGTTTTTTTTGTGCCCATAGTTTGCATGGAGCATCTCAAAATGTTATTATCCATAATGTAATAAAATAAAAGCATGGTACATTGAACCTACATGAATGCAATTTTTCATGAGCTTCTTTTTGAAACTTGTTTTCTGTTAACGTGTTTGTCTTTTTATTGCCATGTTTTGGTCAGGATGCTGATCCTCTAATGTCCTGTGTCTCTCAGGATGAGGTGGACAGTCAGAACCCAGTGTTTCGAGACAACCCTCAGCTCCTCGAAGAAGTGAAGGGCTGGCTCAAAGACCAGAAAGTGCAGGAGATTTTTATGCAAGGTAAACTTTTTAGTACCTTAAAGACAGTAATTGAATCCCTTGTGCAGCATTTACTGCTGAAACATTAATTTATGCTGGTTCATTTGGTCATTATATTTAGCTAACTGTATAATTCAACATCAGCGTTTGATCATAAAACGAGAACCTGATATAAAGAACTTGAACAAATTCATCCTAAATTTTGTGTTGCCTTCAGGTCCCTACTCATTAAATGGCTACCGAGTGCGTGTATACAGACAGGACTCCGCCACCCAATGGTTCACTGGAATCATTACACACCACGACCTCTTCAGTAGAAACATGGTCGTTATGAATGATCAGGTACGTATACCTACGTATAGGCAATATGTGTATGGACTTTATATGAATAGTTGCATCTGAAGAAGTTTAATGTATTTTAAAATGTACTCACTGGTGACAAAACAAAATGTTATTGAACCAGAATGAATGAATGAAGTAACTTGGTTCACATGCAGAACAGGGGTGGGAAGGTAAGTTTACAAGAAGCAGGCACATCTGGAGCGGGCACTGAAGGTGTAAATGGTGGCATCACAAGTTGTGTGGTGTTATCAGACAGATGCCAAAGTGTCCAACTGTCAGTCAAAACCATGAGGTGAACGTCAGCAGACAGAGGGTACCTCGGACACTCATTGAACAGTATTACCAGCACTTGATGGAGTTTGATAAGGATCACATTGTGAGACTGCACGAGGCTGGGTGCCTGAACTACTGGTAATACACCTGTATTGTGAATAGAGGCACTGGTGTTACTCCTGGTGTAATGGTGTGAGGACCCATAGAGTCTGCCTTCAGGTCACCTTTGGTAGAGATTCAGAGGACCCTGACAGTGCAGTGCAATGCCAACAGCATCCTTTGTCTGCATGTCTTACTCCTCTGAGACAGCATCTTAGTGCAGTCTTTGAAAAAGACAACACCCGTACACACGTGTTCCTGTGGACTGCCTGCATTATGGTGAGGTCCTCTGATCTCTCTACACCTGAACATGTGTTGGATCAACTCAGGCATCAACTCCATCCCAGTGCTGATTTAGTCTGGGTTGACCTGCTGGAAGATGCAACAGCTGCATGACTACATTCTGCACCCAATCTTCATGTATCCAGACCTGAGGTGGACCACACCCTGCTCATATGGAACCAGCAGTGGGCCTCAGCTGCCAACTGTGTTATCCATTTATTCTGACATTGTAAAAATTGAACTACAGCAGTGGATTAGAGTTTAATAAATATGCTTTCTAGTGGAATAAGCTCAAATTATGATTGTGTGTGTTCAGGTACTAGAACCACAGAACGTAGATCCATCTATGATCCAGATGACCTTTCTCGATGACGTTGTCCACTCTCTGCTGAAAGGAGAAAACATTGGCATCACATCCAGACGAAGGTCACGATCCAGCCAGAATAACAACTCTTCTCATGTGAGTACAGAAGTACTTAAACACAACATACCAGTGCCCCAAAAGACCAATGTGATCATTTGCAAATCTCATAAATCCATGTGTTATTCATAATGAACATGGTAACTACAGAGCAATGCATAGCAACTACTTATTACAGTTGTTCTTTTACATTTTTATTCATGGTTGTAACTGAGACCCTGTGTACACAATTTCCTTCCATCTCATGCACCACATGTGGTGCGAACGACAAATAAAGAAACTCTGACTCTGAACTACATCGGATAGTTAAACAAAGAAATTGTACCTCCATCTTCTTTCGTCGTTTTGCTCTTCAAGGGTCCCAGCAAATCATCGTCCTCCTCCATCTCTGTCCTCTGCATCCTCTGTCCTCACTGCAACTACCTCCATGTCCTCTCTAACTGCATCCACATATCTTTGTCTCTTTCCTGGCAGCTGCATGTCTAACATCCTTCTACCAGTATACCCACTGTCCCTCCTCTGGACATGTCCAAACCACTGTCCCTCCTCTGG